ATCATCATCAACAACAGCCACAACAACAACAACAAAAGTAATAGCAACAACAGAAACAACAATATCAACAATAAAAGCAACAAAAATAGTAACAATAACAACAACGCAATCATCATCAACAACAACAACAACAACAACAACGTCAACAACAAAGTATTCACCAACAGCAACTAGTAATCGTATATAATATATATGATCTGCATGGAAATACAGTAACCCTTCTTCAGCATCTCTGTCCGTCTGCAGGGACAATGAATCCCTCACTAACACTAACAGAGTACTCCATGGCAAACAGGGTCGAAGCAGCCCGTCTCCGTAATAATCTTAGCTGTGTCGATGAGTACAATTGCTTTTAAAAAATTTATTTTTTTTTACTTCTTTTGCACCCATAATTTCCACAAGGCTTACTTCTACTGATATATGAGTACAGATAGTTCCCGCTATGCTAAGTCCAACTGGTATAAATATGTAGATGGCCATCGCTAACTAGGCCGAGTTCATCAAGAATTGATATTATTTATGACAATTTTCCAGTAAATTTGGATCTACCGGTACATAAGTATAGAAAGTTTCCACTTGGCTTAGTTCAACTGGTATAGATACGGAAAGCCATTGTTAACTTGTCCGAGTTCAACAGAAATTGGTATGAAAAGTTTCCAGTTAGCTTGATTCTACTGGTACAATATAATTAGATATAAGTACAAATAGTTTCCACTTGGCCTAGAATCTAGTCCTACTGTTATATAATTATTTAGTAGAGAGAGTTCCCACTTGGCTTAGTTCTACTGGTATAGATATGTGGCAAGATCGCGCGGTTTTGACAGCGGGCTCGTGACGTCACGGCACCCATGAGGCCAGCAGTGACCGACATGAGTACTGGTGGGAAGCCCTGCCTGTCAGTTCGGGGTCATTGTCAGACGCTCAGGTCACTCTCTCATTTCTTAACCTTTGACCTCCTCTCCCCCCAAGGAAGCAGCACGCGCGGAGTGGCGAGGAATTACATGTTGGAAGGGGGGTTTAGTGTAAGGAGAAAGAGAGAGTTTGTGAGATGCTCATCTCGTTTGATGCATTGTTTGAGTTTGATATTTTCGTTATCGTTGTCGTCATTGTTGCTGTTGTCATAGTCGTCCTCGTCTTCGTTGTCGTCATCATCATCATCATCATCATCATCATCATCATCATCATCATCATCATCATCTTATGCGAGTTTTCAGCTAGCTGTGTTTTGAAAACGACGTAAATGTGAACCCTGGGCGACCAGGAATCAAACACACGACCTCTGGACCATAAGTTTATTGTTGACTTAAAGGTTCAAGTGTATCTATATTTCTCCTATGCCATCTCTCTCTCCCTCATTCTCTCTCTCTCTCTCTCTCTCT